ATGTTTTGTAATTAAATTAACACCTACATTTATTTTAAGCCAGTCATTTTCATCAGGATTGAGATGATTTAATATATGGAGACTGGACCAACAAAACATGGTTCTGGGCTCCTTGACTCAAAATTGAGCTTTTTGTATCAAATTAATCAGCAATTCAAGGATTATATTTTGGTACAATTTTTGATGTGTAAAAGTATAATACAGAAACATATAAAATGAGATTGAATCTTTTTATATTTTTAGGTGACCAAATTTAAAAATAAATGATCAGCAAAGAAATTTCTTAAAATGTAAAATTTTAAAATTTATTTTTAAGGTTTAGAAAAATGAACGTTTTTGAAAGGATCCTCAACATGCTGTCTTATATTTTTGTACAAATATTCTTTTATATCCCTTTACAATGAAGCTATGGATATAATGCTAAGCTGTTTATTTGGGTCAAAAATAATCTCTGATTTTAAAAGTTTAATGCAAGTTTCCTCACCACCAGCCATTACTGACACATATACTTTTCCTATGTCTTCTTCAAGTGTTCTACTAAATCTAAAATGGTGGTATTTTTTAATATTTGCTAATTTGGAAAATTTTCCATCAAAAAATGATTGAAAATCATACCACTTCCACTCAGTTTCTTTTTTAAATAGCAAAGCAGAATTTCCTACTGCCAAAGTATTGACCACAGTTTCAATATCATTGATTGTGTTAATAGAAGTATATTTATATTTTTTTTTAATATTCCCAAAGAAACCATCACAATGAAATTTGGTATGTCCAGGAATCATAAAATTTACACTACAGTCAGACCTCCATAAGTGAACCCTCCATAAATGCACACCCTCCATAAATGCACACCCTCCATAAATGCACACCCTCCATAAATGCACGCTATGTCTTGGTCCCGACCTCAGGACTTAGTGGTAAATGCACACCCTCCATACTCTGCACTGCACAGTATTTTTTCGGTCCGCTCATATGAAAACTCTCTCCCATGTGACCAATGTATAAAATTCATCCGAATTTTGTAAACAATAAATTTTTAATCTTTGTAATTTGTTCTTTATTCACTATTTTCTTTCATCTCGTAATTTCATAACAAATAAAGATTCAAAAATTTTTGTTATTTTACAATCTTTGTAATTTATAATACACAGTGAGTCTCGATTTAACGGATATTTTTTTCCAGAAAATTTATCCGTTAAATCGAGAGATCCGCTAAATCGAAACTTATGATCAAATCATGTGTAGTCGTGTGACATGTCCTAAAATCAAGGGGCAAGTTTATTTTCCGAAAAATTTCCGGTGATCTACACAATTTTTTATTAATAAAATTTCGAATTGAATGTCTTCATACCCTCGTTTGATACCCTTGCTGTGTAGCAATTGCCACCAAATTTGATATATAACTTCTTTGTCATATGTATCTGCTTTAAAAAAAAATTTAAAGCAAGTTGTCAATAAAACTGAAAATAATCTCAGCCTTAAAGTCAAATTTTATTTTATATTCGTATATGTAGAAATTTGTTAGCATGTCCAAGGTAAATTAAATGTCTAAATATTATATTTAAATATTTATAGAATTATGTTCATTTTACTTCCTAATACTAAGATGTATGTCTTTTATACTATCATTTATTTTAAACAAATAAATAATTGATTTATTATTATTATATTAATATTAATGCGATATGAAAAAATGATATATTAATTTAATATACATTCTATGATTAGAAGAGTATACTTGTGAAAACTGAACATTTTATATAAACTTTATTATGGTGTGAAAAATGATCAAGGTTTTTATGAGCAATAAATAATATTGTGTATAAAGAGTTGGTTAGAACTAAAACTTGTAAATATGAATTTATTTAATAATAAATTTGATGATATTAATATTAACAATTAAAATGCCAAAGGCTAACCAATCTCAATTCATGAATTAAAGTATTGGATTAATACTATATACAGTCCAACCTTGTTTCAACAAATCTATACCAAAACTACTAGCCGCGTTGTAACACAATTACAGCAAATTAATTATGATTTCGTTGTAAAATGAATTTAATATGGATATAGTAAATATGAATTTATTTATTATTTAATAAATTTGATGATATTAACAATTAAAATGTAAAAGGCTAACTAATCTCAATTCATGAATTAAAATATTGGATTAATATTATATACAGTCAAACCTTGTTTCAACAAATCAATACCAAAATTACTAGTCGCGTTGTAACACGATTACAGCAAATTAATTATGATTTCGTTGTAAAATGAATTTAATATGGATATAGTAAATATGAATTTATTTATTATT